ACCTTATTTCATCTTTACCCTTCCCCAACTCCCTTTCTTTTAACACTGAAGTATTTTAAGCAATTCCCAGACATATTATTTCATCAGTTTTTCAGTATGTTCTTTTTTCTTTCTTATTGAATGTATTGGAGTGACATTGGTTAATAAAATTAAATGGTTTTCTTTTAACAAATACCATTTTGACTTTGGAAAGGTAAATAATCTCTTAATATTACCAAAGAGCCAATTAATGTTTAGGTTTCCCTGTTTGTATAATTTAAAAATTGTTTTAAACAGTTTGCACAAATCATGATCCAGACAAGGTATACACATTGCATCAATTGATATATCTCTTCTAAAAAAACCTTAGTTTGAAATAATTCTAGACATAGAGAAAAGGTATTAAAATAATACAGAGAGTTCCCATATGACCTTCACCCAGTTCCTAATGTTACTGTCTTTCATAACTGTGGTACATTCATCAGAACCAGGAAATGAACACCAATGCAGTACTATTATTTACAGACTATTTGAGTTTTGCCAGTTTTCCCATTAATGTCCTCTTCCCATCCAGGCTCAATCCAGGGTCCACGTTGCCTTTAAGTGCCATGTCTCACTGGTCATTTATCTTATAGGTGTCCCTTAATTTGGACTTCTCTGATATATCTCATGATTACATTGAGGGCATACATTTTTGGTAATAGCACAGATGTGATGTGCTCTTATCAGGGTGTCATATCTGGAGGTGCATAATGTCAGCCTGTCTTATTACTGGTGAGGTTAGTGTTGGTCACTTGGTTAAGGTGGAGGGAAGTCTCCTAAGTTTCTCCACAATAAAGTTACTATTTTTTTCCCTTCGTGGTAAGTATTTTATGGGGAGATACTTTGAGACTTTGTAAATATCTTGTTTCTCATCATACTTTCAAGAATCTTAGTATCTATTGATGATACCTGCTACACTTATTACTGTGGTATTTGCCTTATGGTGGTTTTCTATTTCCATGATTTCTTCTACACTTATTCGTTGTAATTCTACTGTCCTTTCTGCACTTATTTATTATGTAGTTGTTGATATCAATATGGACTAATGAATATTTGTTTCAGTCTATAGGTTGTAAGCCATTGATATCATGATTTATTTTGTTGCTCACACTGTCCCAGATTTAACCATTGGGTGCTCCTTCAGATTGATTCCTGTGCCTTTTAACATGCCCCATCATTTTTTCTTTTTAAAGAAAATAAGAGCTGATTAATAATAGGGGGCTTTTGCTCTTATTGGTAATGAAGATTAAAAAAAAAAGATTTTATTGATTTTTAGAGAAAGAGGAAGGGAGAGGGAGAGAGAAACATCAGTGTGAGAGTGAAACTCGACTGGTTGCCTTCTGCACCCTCCCACTGGGGATCAAGCCCACAACCCAGGCATGTGCCCCAACCGGGAATTGAACCAGCAACCTTTCGGTGCATGGGACAATGCCCAACTGATGGAGCCACACAACCAGGGCCATGCCCCATCATTTTTTGAGCACTTTCTTACTTTCTAGGATCAAATTTGTCCTGGACTCATCTTGTGTTTTTCTTACCCCAGTCCGGGGGTCAACCATTTGTCCAAGGATCTCTTCTTTCTGTCATCGGAGGATAATATTAAGAAACCAGATCCCAATGACAGGTGTCTTCATTGCTACTGGGGTGTCATTATTTCTAGGCCTTGTCAGTGGACAGAGCTTGGAAATATATATGTGTGCATATACTGACACATGCATATACACATCTATACTTATTTCTGTGTCCAACTCTGTGTGTATGGTGTGTGTGTGGGGGAGAGAGAGAGGGAGAGAGAGGGAGGGAGAGAGAGAAGACAAAGTTAGGGGAGGCTAGAATGAACCCTGTGGAATTAGTATGAATTCATGAGTTCACACTAACCTTCCCCAGCTTTCTTAATTATTATTTAACCCGCAGGTTTTCTTTTTATTCCCCTTTCATATAATTTATTTGTTGAGTAAGTTGAGTCTTTGTTCTTTGCAATTTTCCATTCTGAATTTTGCTGATTGTGTTTTTATAATGCTGACTCTCTTTCTAGTAAATTGGTAGTTAGATAAGATACATGGTCAAATTTAGGTTTAATTTTTTGGCAAGATTTACATTACATGTGGTCATTTGTACTTCCAATAGGAGGTATATAATATTTGGTAGTTCCTGTTTTTGATGTTACTCACCATTGATGACCATTTGCAAAGTGGTGATAATTTATTATTTATTTTATTTTTATTTTTTAAAAAATATATCTTTATTGATTTCAGAGAGAGGAAAGGAGAGGGGGAGAGAGAGAGAGATAGAAACATCAATGATGAGAGAGTCACTGATTGGCTGCCTCCTGCACACCCCCGACTGGGGATCGAGCCCACAACCCGGGCATGTGCCCTGGCTGGGAATCGAACCCCGATCGCCTGGATCCTAGGCCGACGCTCTCAACTGCTGAGCCACGCCTGGCCGGGCACAAAGTGGTGATAATTTAATCTTATTCCTTCTTCATTTATAGCTAAATACTTCCATAAAGACAAACTTATTTTTCATCATCTATTTAGTTACCCTTGGGTGCAGTTCATACAGGAAAGACAAAGAATTCACTAGAATTCTTCAAAGGTAACTAATTATATTAGTTTTCGTTGCTGCTATAACAAATTACCATGACCTTGGTGGCTTAACACAAGTTTATTTTATAGCTCTGGAAGTCAGAAGTCTGACATGGGTCTTAGCAGGTAAAATCAAGGTGTCAGCAGGGCTGCATTCCTTCTGAAGGCTCTGGAAAAGTTCATTTCTTTGCCTTTTCCAGCTTCTAGAGGCTGCCTACATATCTAGACCCTTGGCCTACTTCCATTTTCAAAGCCAGCAATGGCTGGTGATGTCTTTTTTGTGCTTCCCCCTTTCACTTTTAAAGGTCTGTAATTATATTGGACCCATCTGGTTAATCTCTCTATTTTAAGGTCGGCTGATTAGTAAACTTAATTCCATCTGCAACTTGTATTACCTTTTGCCAACATAATTTAGCATATTCATAGATTCTGGGAATTAGGATGTGAACGTCTTTGAGGGGAGCATTATTCTGCCTGTTATAGGGATCGAAGATTTTTTGTTTTGATATTATGAACTCAGATTTTTTACATTTTTAATGTATTTTTATTCATTGTTATTATCCTCGATGTTCTAATTGTCCTCTCTTTGGACAGTCAAAAAGTTCATTCATGTTGACTCCTGAGTTCCTTAGACATGAATGTTGAGTCTTTGATGGCTTCCTTTTTTTCTGACATGAGAAGATGTCTGGGCTCACATCTTACATTGCTGGGCTCACATCATCCCTTCCCATAAGGCAAACTTTAGTGTGCATCAGAATCACTTGGAAGGCTTATAAAAACACAGATAATTTACTGTACCAACCTACAGAATTTCTGATTTAATAGGTCTGGGGTGGGGTCCAATAATTTGCATTTGCAGTTCCCAGGTGGTGCTCATAATGATGCTCTAGGGACTACGCTTTGAGAACCACTGCTTTAAAGAACCTTGGTTCTTTTTGGTGGGAAATGGTACTTGGAGACTAGTCTGGATGCTAGGGGCGGTAATGATTCTAGGCTTTTTCAGTAAAGGAAGGAAATAACAGAAAATATAAGTTCATGTTGGTATTTCCAATTCAGATTTAGAATTACATGTTTTAACATTTATTTTATATTTGTCTTTGTTTTCTCTTAGGCTTAAAGTCTTGGCTTTTGTGACATTAATAATTACTTATTTAATAAATATGCACCGTTTCAGAATAACAATACCAATATTACTTCTTACAACATGATACTAGAAGCAGTTTAAGATTTTTTTGCAGCAGTTTCCTTTTGTCCTTAGAAAAATACCATTAGGGATGCACAAATTACTCTGCTTTAAAGTTATTGGAAATAATTTCTGTTTGGTTAACCAGTCAACCTGCTACACAGATTCATTTTTTGTTTTTGTTCTGCTTTCAGTTTTAGGGAATTTTAATTTAATTTTCAAAATAACTAAACAGTTAAATGGTTTCAATGTAACATCCATAAAATGAGTCTACTCTATCTGTGTCCCTTCTCTCTTACTCTCCCTTCCCCTTATAGACGACCACTTAACTTATTTTATGGTTAAATAAATGACAGTATGCTGTCCATACTTTTTTTCCTCCTGGAGTCTGTCTCCTTTCCCCTCCTCCCCCGCAGCAATGTATTCTAAAGATTACTTTAGGGCAATATATTTATAGAGAGAGTAGTCATTCCTTTTCCTTGAGAGCTTCAGAGTTCTCCCTTGTGAGCTTGTACCATAGTTTATTCCTCCACTGGTGGACATTTGGGTTGTTTCCACCCATTTGCTATTGTGAATAGTGCTTCGATATTACAAATACTACATATTTTGAGGTAGTTACAATCACTGTATACTGTTTCCTGTTTTTTTCCTTAATGTTATATAACATGAGCATTTACATGTTATTTTAAATGTTTTAAGAGTTTTTTTTTGTTCTGATTAGGAAAATAATACAGACTTATTTGGACATTTTAGAAACTCAGAAAGATAAAAAATAAAAAGTAAATTGAAATTACCCATAATCACTCTACTTAGGTATGCTGTTATTATTTTAATGTGTTCCCTTATAGCCTTAACAACATTTTGTGTGTACATTTAGAAAACAATCAGCATCATAGTACATAGTATCCTGGTTTGCTTTTATTCATAATTATGCATTTTTTTCATACTGTAATCTTTCTATAATTAATTTCCTATTGGTGGATATTTAATTTCTTTCTGGCTTTTCAGCATTATAAGTAATGTGATAACATCTGTGCATAAAGCTTTTTCTGAATTTCAGGTTATTCTTAAATGAGAAGGAAGTACACACTTGTTAAATATATCTACTGGCTTTCTTTTTTTATAGCAGTAAGGTAAATAGGTGAGAGGTTGTCACCTTGACATTTTTGTCAAGTAAATTCCAATTTTTTTTCTTTTTCTTCTGCTAGGACCTTAGAAGTGAAGTTGAGAAATTACGCAATGAAGTGAATGAAAGAGAGAAAACAGTGGAGAATCGATATAAGAGTCTGTTGAGTGAAAGTAATAAAAAATCACACAGTCAAGAGCAGTTAATCAGACATCTAACAGAAAGTTCCAATCAAAGGGGCAAGGACTTGTTGCTTCAGGTACCAAACCTTTTTTTTCTTTTGTATTTAACTTTTGACTTGGCACAGTTTTTTTGGTGTTGTTTTTTTAACTCTTTTTGCAGGAGCATTTATATAAAAATAAGGCTGGCAGCAATGATTATAACCTTCATTACTATATATCGGTGCACTTTAGAGCTTTCTTTATGTCATTTGGGCCTCAGCCACCAGGGAGGTGAGTTTGGAGAAACAGAAGGTCAGAAAAGGGAAGGAGCTTATCCTGGGTCACGTGACTAGTGAGCGGCAGGTCCCATTCAGGCCCTGAGCTGTTTTGTTCTGGGCCCAGCCTGCTTCCCTAAGCACTTCTTCCACTGCTTCTTCCCCATTCCTGCCGTGCTGCCCTTTTACTAGTTCGGTTTCCTCTAGCTGCTAAGACCCTTCTTGTTTGATCATATTTGATTCAGCTCAGACCTACTGGGACCATGATGGACATTAAGTCTGCTTCCTGCTGAAGCCTCGTTAGCATGGCAGTGAAGGGGTAAAAAGGTATAAACCCACAGGCCTGGGGGAGCGGAGCGTATAACAGTAGGTTGCTGTCTGGATGATAAGTGAATGGGCAGGTGGTAACTACATGGCCTTCCGCTGTCTCCACATGGCTGCTACGTGCTTTGGGCTGAAAAGCTAAGCAGCAGCAAGCGGATTCATCCTACAGGGCTCGGGAAGGCTCAGCAGGCCGTGGAGGTACCTGGTGTCTTAGAAAACAGGAGACTGGGCTGGAATGCTGGGCAGTTCGGGGACCTGTTCTCTTCACTGGCAGAAAATGGGAACTTTACTCTCTGGGGACCTTAAATCAGAGAAGCTCTGGTCTGGGGGTCACTGAGTGCATCGGAAAGCAGAGTGGAGGGAGCAGAAGTATCTATACCCAGCTGTGGGATTCCTCTGAGAGGGGCAAGACTGAAAGGTGCTGACAGTGGGGGTCCTCTGACAGAACAGCGGAGTCCCCACCTGGTTGTATTAGTGAGGCTGCCAGTGATGAGCCCTTTCCACACTCACAGAGCTTCTGAGCACTTTTACACTTAAAAGTGGTTGGATGACCCGGCTGGGCGTGGCTCAGTGGTTGAGGGTTGACCTAGGACCCAGGCGATCAGGTTTCGATTCCCGGTCAGGTCACACGCCCGGGTTGTGGGCTCAATCCCTAGTCGGGGGTATGCAGGAGGCAGCCAGTCAATGACTCTCTCATCATTGATGTTTCTATCTCTCTCTCTCTCTCTCCTTTCCTCTCTCTGAAATCAATAAAGATAAATTTTAAAAAAAAAAAAAAGTGGTTGGATGGCTTACGTTCATCAAACAGGAGAAAAGTGTCTTAGAAGAAGGACAAAGGCCAAAACAGATAGAACAAAGCTACACAGAGGAAACAGAAACAGTGTAGGGTGGGAAGAAAACTAGATAGCACAACAAACTCAACACGAACACCTTTAGATAAATGAAATCAGGCTCAGGTAAAGAAGATACTTGGAATAAAAGGATCACCTCTTGGAAATTGGAAGTATGACTATAGATATAAAAAGTTTAATAGAAGAGTTAGAGAAGTTGGAGAATAAAGAGTGAGTTTTACAGAAAGTAGAATTAAAGAAACAAAAAGATGGGAAAATGGGAGAATAAAGAATAAATTAGAGGCTTGATCAAAGAGCTCTAATATATGACTAATAGGAGTTCCAGAAAGAATGAACAGACAAAGCAGAGGGAAGAAAATATTCAAAGTAATAGAAAATACCCCAAATGGAAGGACAGATAGGTCTACATTAAATGGGACTGCTCTGTTTCTAGCACAGTGAATGAAAAAGACCAAAGCCAAGGCATATCTTTGTGAAATTTCAGAACACAGGCAAAGAGAGCATCCAGAAGACTTCCAGAGAGAGGAAAATATGGGTCACATACAAATTCCTCAATATGGTAGAATTCTCAGCAGAAACACTGGAAACCAGAAGACAGGAGAGCAGTGCTTTCAGATTATTGAGGGAGTGATTTTCAGTCCAGCATTCTGAGCTCACAGACTGGTTAGCAAGAATGAGGACAGAATAAAGGCATTTCCAGACATTCAGTGTCTGGAATCATCTGCCTCCCATGTACTCCTTGCAGGAAACGTCTGGAGGATGGTTTCATACAATTGAGGAAGTAACCAAAAAAGGAAGCATGGGATCTAGAAAGTAGGGAATTCACCTGGGGTGTGAAGTTCCGGGTGGACAGCTGAGAGGTAGGAGCCCGAATATGAGCTGTTAAGGGAATGCTTAAGTTGGGATTTCTCTAAGAAACGGAAATGGAACATCATTTACCTGACGTATCTGACTCCATCTAGAGGAGTTTTTAAGTTTGTTTAGAGAGTTTGGAGGTAAATTAAGTACATGATTTAATTTTGTGAACTAAGTAAACAAACAGAACAAAGCAGTTACTGATTCCAGGAAAAGCAAAGAATTGAAAATGAAAGGAAATGTAATCATGGAACTCTGTATATATGGCTGAACAGTGAATAGTATTTGTGTGGCCATAGTAACATAAATGTAGAATATTGATTTAGCTAAAATTGTGATACAACTATTAGGAAAAGTGTTGGGGGGGGGCAGATGATGTAAGAGCTAAATTTTTCAACTTCTGTGATAGGAGCCAATAGATAAAATCTAACCATAAGAAATCAAGAAATGTGAGATTAGGAACATATATAGAAACATGGAAGTAAATAAGAAATAGCTATAGAGTTGAAAATTGTTTTTTTCTGGGAGTGGGACTCAGAGGTGAGAAGTGAAGAGGTAGGGGCGGCTGTTTTCCATGTAAGCCTTATAGTACTACTAACAATGTATATGTATAATGGGACTTTAAAAAAATAAAACGCGTAACTTAAGCACAACAGTGTGATGGCAGTTCTAGAAATTCAGTGTTGGTTATTTGATTCCTAGTTCTTTCTGTTATAGGTCAGCAGGTTTTCACAAAAATTTGTCTCTGCTGCTTTTTTGTTTGTGTTCACCTAATTTTTTCAGACAAGCTTGACGTGATGAATTAATTCTGATAGGCTAGGGATAAGATGTGGTTCTTGCCCTGAATTTCTGACAGAGCGCAGAAACCTAGTTCAAGAGTTACCAGGTGTTAAATGGTTAGGACTAGAGTCTATGCTTGAACTTGGGCACAAGACCGGATAAATTGTCTCCAGTCCTCTCGTGTTGTCGGTCAGATCTGAAGGGGTCAGTGAGGGGAAATGTATTGTGCATCAGCATGAAGGAGCTTTTCATGTGTGACCAGACCCCAAAGCAATGTTTCCTGTCTTGCCTTTTCCTCCTGGAAGTCAGATCTCCTCACAGATATGGTGGTTCAAGTTTTGTCAAATTTGTAATGTTTCTAGAGAGACTGCACTTTGTTAGGTTGTGATGTACAATCTCCCTAGTCACTGCAGTAACCCCTTAGGATAGGAAACAGACCCAGAGGTCACACCCGGTCAAGGGGAACTCCAGATTGGAACCCAGTCCCATGGGGCCAGAGCCTGGGCCATGTCCTCCACACCTGCTGGGAGGCTGTCAAGTAGTGGTGAGAAGGAAGGTTTGTAATGACTGCCACCATGCTGGGATGCTGCTCTTCCAGTTGTAATAACACACAAGTGGAGTGCATTAGTTTTATAATTGCCAGTATTTTGGGATGATAGAAGTGACAGAGGACATACTGGTATTGTGAGGAAAAAGAAGTATCTTCCCTTAAAGAGTTGGGGGTAATCTCTTAATATATTTTTCTTGATGAAAACTTCCTTATGATTTGTTTTGTTTCTTTAGAAATTCAATGAAAAAGATTCGGAAGCAATACAGCAGAATCGTTATTTAATGACTGCAGAGGATCTCAAGTTCAGGAATGAAGACTTAATAACAGAAAAGTGCTCTTTTCAACAGTCACCAGGCAGCAGAATCATCTTCTCTGAGGTGAGTGTGACTGAAATGGGGCATTCAGATATGAATTCATATTCTTTTCTGACACATATTTGGTAATTCCTTTGATCCAGAGAGCCTCAAATTCCTTCTTGCTGATAACTGAGCTTACAACAGGTAAGGGGGGGGTTGTGAGTCTATCTACTTTACAGATTAGTATCTGGCAGCTGCGCGTTAGTGTTTGCAGAGCACAGGAAACAGAAATCACAGTTCGTTAAAAGATGAGCCTCATATTTGCTCTCCCAGGGTTCGCCTCTCAAGAACTATGTAATCTCAAGTGTTAAGAACATTTTTCTGTTCAAACACACATGAAAAAGGGCACAGCAGGCCCTTCCTTATCTGGCCTCAAGTTCTCTTTCCATTCCCATTTTCTCTTACTCCCCATCATCACTAACAACAGCTAACTGCTTGCAGATTCCTGAACATGCCATCTTTGTACCTCTTTGTGCTTTTGCACATGCTGTTCCATCTCCTGGAATTCCTTTTTCTTCCTTGTTTACCTGGTGACTCCTGAACATTCCTAATTCCACTCTTGTGTCACCTTCTCTGTGGCACCCTCCCTGAACCCACTTAGTAGTGATGTCTCCTCTTTCTCTCTGGTGCACAGCACTTTGCACACCCATCCATTGTAGCACTTGGTTCTTGTGTTGACATTACTGGATCTACCTCTCTGCTTTCCTCTCACTCGAGCCCCTGTGCACCATGGGCAGCCACCTCAGAGGTGGAGAACTGGCATTCATGTTTGAATCCCAATGTCTAGCCCAGGGCCTGGCTCAGTAAGTACTTGTTGAGTGAATGAATGACTCTTGGTTTGTGAGAGATGCATAGAGATTGTTCTGACCCTAGTTTGAATAAAATGCAACTTGGCAGCTAGATATGGGAAAGGAAAGGAGTTCACTGTAGGCCAAATTTTGTTTTTTTTAAACTTGACTTTAATCAAGTTCTTACATTGAGGACAGAGAATGCTTATGCAAATTAGTTCTCTGATGAATGGCTCTGATCATGACTTGTGGTTTTGCAAAGGGTGATTCTCAAAATAATTAACTGGTGCAGCACGGGCCCAGGTATAAGAACAGACTCAGGTGGTAGGGCTGGAGCAGGGTCCTGGAGGCCTGCTCATATGCCAAGGACCAACCGTGTAGTTATTGGGTCTTGGAGAGGTCCCTAAGAGTCTATAAGGCAGGGCCAGAGCAGCTGGGCTAGTTGGAGTGTAGATGTATTTCAGTATTTTACCATCAGTACTAGCCATTCCACTGCATATCAGCTCAGTATCATCCCTGGTCCACAGGGCATCATTGGCTGAACAGTGGGAGCTCTTTCTTAACTTTGACCATTTATTGATTTGCATTTTTCTCTGTCTCTGGAATATGAGTGTCAGCATAGACTAGAACCAGGCCAGAAGTCTGGAGACCTGGATTCCTCTCGGCTCTTTCACTTCTTTGGGTAGGTCTAATAACCAAATCTCACAGGGCTGATATTTTGTGGTACCAACTTACATATAGTTATTTGATTTTGACCAAATTTAGTTGGATGTTAGGATGCACACTAACTTGTATAAGGCACAGTCTGTTTTTAAACAAGATAGCACCCCATCAGGTGTTTTAGGTGGATGGATCTTCACTAATTTGAATACATTTAGTTAAACTTTGCTGTTTTGAATCATGTTTTAGTCATGTAAAAAGTATGTAAATGTTGAATAAAATGTTTATAAGTCTATTGAACAGGCTGAGTTTGATCTGCACCACTTCATGCTTATTTTTTTTGTGCTCGGTGATGTCTGTACTTTCACATAACCACAACTATGAAGTCATTTCACGGGCATTTCTGTTAAATTTAGATCCTGATATTTAAATTATATTTTAGCAAAGGTTTTAATTCTGTACTGCATGACTAATTGCAAATTGTGGATAAAGAATTATAGATTATCATTTAGGAATTGTAAATTTCTAGGTGTCAGTTTAAGAAATTCCAACTGTTAGAGGCTATAGTCCTGTGTCACCTCCCCCCCCCCCAAAGATATATTTTTCAGATTGCAGTTCCTTCTTTGTAGAAAACGTGGATTTCTGTTGCTATGCCCTTGGCCATTTTGTGTTGATTTAGGTTTATCCTCTGCCCATTTCTACAAAGAACTTGAGGCTATGATGATGTCCCCGTCTACTCTGGGCAGTCTGTTTCCCTTCTAATTATTGTGTGATCCTGAGAATTAATGCTGGATGATCAGGGAATTGAAGAACAGAGAGTAAAACCACTGATCATATTTAATTTGCTGCAGCCAGAGATTTTTACAGCCTGGCTGTTGACATGGTTGGGACATTGCTGCTGAGGTTCCTGAGTATTAAAATAAATGTCTTTGTTGCAGGGCTGTGACATAGCCATCAAGATAGACACCATCCATCTACCAGGCCACTAAATTGCCCTGATTATCAAGAAGTGATCCATTAAGTCTTCTTGTTATATATTCTCTGCCTCTTCAGATTGTGGTCAATACATTGCATGTGTTTCCTTCAAGTCATTAAGGAGACTGTGGTAGAGTAGAAAATGCCCTGGCTTTGGTGTTGGAGTGTCAGTTCTGCTACTTATTAGCTCTATGGCTCTGGGCAAGTTGCTTAATCTCTCTGAAACTCACCTTCCTAATCTATAAAATGGTGAATTCCATGCTAATTTCCTGAGAGGATCAGAAAAAATGAAAGTGTATTGGTTACAGTTTTTTTGGTTGCCAGCTATAGAATCTAACCTAACATTGAATAGTTTTAGCAAAGCAGCTGTGAACAGAGTGTTTATTGGAAGCATACTGGAGGCTGTCACAGATGCTAAGGGAGAGTCAAGCAGCCATGCCTGGGGGAGAGTGAAACCCCAGCAGCCCCATGGACAGCAGAAGCTGTACACCCTAGGGCTCTGTCTTTGATATGAGTCAGCAACTCCCAGACTGCTAGTGTCTCAGTTTGTATTTCCTAATTGTATTTGTTTCATGTGGACCCAGGAGATAGCTTGCAGAGGAGAGAGCGGTCTTCCTTCTCTTGCCCCTGTGTTTTAGGGACAATTCTCAGATGGGCTGCGGGGGGGTTGGTGAGCTGGGTGGTCATTCTCAGGCTGTGGAGAACAAACTGCAGAGTTGAACATGGTAGAATCATGGCTATCATAAGTCTCCTGTGGGATGACCGGCCTCCTGTCTGGGTTGTTTCTTGTTTGGAGGCACAGGGTGGAGGGCGGGGGTTGGTTGCTCCTGCTCAGAGGTGCTTCTCCTTACGGTCCTCTGGGAACCCCTCTGCCTCTATGCCGAGGAGACCCACTGGTTTGTCAGCTCTGCTGACAGAGCCAAATGACCTCATTCTAATGGAGCTTGATTCAACGCAGGGGAATAGGTGATTGATGAAATGGTACCCAAATGGCTCCAAAGAGTTCATTTATTTAACATGGGTGAGCAATTTGCTTCTAGGAAGACGTTGACTCACTCTGACTTCCATTATGCAAAATATTCACAAGACTCTGTGCTCTTAAGATTCATACGGGTCCCTGTGTTGCCTCTTAGTTAATCATCAGGTCAGCAAGTACTGTGGCAGTGTTTGATCTGTGCTAGGAACTGTGCTGCCCACAAGGAGCCCTCAGACCTGTAAACAGGTGGCTGGGACACAAGCTCCAGGGTGAAGGTGAACCAGGGTGCCATGGGAGCTGGAAGAGGGCATCTCCCTCAGTCATGGATGGCTTCCTGCTGAGAGTTTTGCCTGAGCAGATCCTTGGGAGGGGTGATTGGTGGAGTTTCCCCCTGGAGCTCAAATGGAGGGGTTTCAGTTTCACGGAGATGGGAGGGGAGGAAGAAAGCAAGTGCAGGTGTGATCAGCTGGCAGGTGGGGGCTGGGGGCCAGGGAGAGCAGTGACCTGAGAAACCTGGTGAAAGTTTGGGTTACCTTCCAGAAAGAAGAGGAGAGGGGTGCTGAGCCAGGCACCCAGGCCCTGACATTGCAGTGGGTGGTCCTCTTGGTCTTAAAGCCTGGCCCGCAGTGATCTGGTTAAGATTCAGGGTCCCCACGGTCAAGATTGTTTCACTGGATACATACCTTCCACATCTGGAGTCTGCTCCATCGACCAGAACTCCATTTTTATCTGTCTTTCTTTTTTTGTTAATCCTCACCCGAGGATATTTTTCCCCATTGATTTTTAGAGAGAGTGAAGAGAGGGAGGGAGGGGCGGGAAGAGAGATAAACGACTATGTGAGAGAGAGACAGTGATTAGTTGCCTCCGGAATGCACTCCATCTGAGGCTGGGGATTGGATCTGCAACCCAGGTGTGCCCTTCACCGGGAATCAAACATAGGATGCCTCTGTGCATGGGCTGATGCTCTAACCACAGAGCAACACTGCCGGGGCTTATCTCTCTTTTTGGCTAGCCTGTCTGGGTTGACTTGGAAGTTACATACATAAGCACAAATTCTGACTGCCAGTTATTAGCTGAATGGACTCAAGTTAACCTCTCCTCTCAGAGAATCGGTTTCTTCATCTGAAAAATAGGAAGCTGATATACCTTCCTGGGTTGTTGTGAGTAGAGATGATCCTGGTAAAAGTACCTAGCATAGCACTGGAGCATAGAAATAGGAGTTATGGCTACTTTTCACATGTTTATTCCATGCTAGGCATCATGCTGAGAACTGTGTATAGATTAACTCATTTGATCTCCTTACCAACCCTATGAGATATGTAGAATTATTACCTCCATTTATAGGTGAGGATATTGAAGCACAAAGAGATTGAGTAACTTCTTCAAGGTCACATACTCTTAATCACTGCCTCTCATGGTAGGTGCTAATGAAACAGTAAGTTTCTTATTTTCTTTGTCACTGTTGGCTGGTTTTTATGTGATGACGTCACCCTTTTCAGGCACCCAGTGCTTTGTATTCATTGTGGGGCATTGACAGGTGGACTTGGAGCTCAGTTGCCTGGGTCCACAGCCTACGTCACTGCCTTGACCTTGGGCGCACTGTTGCCACAAGTCCCTCATCACCAAGATGGGGAGAGTGGTAGTGTCTGAGCTTGTTGGGTCATTGTGAGGGTTAAAGGGGAAAATGCCTGGAAGGCTCTTAGCACAGCGGCTGACATGCTGAGGACTCGATAGCCTTCATCTTGATACCCTGTTGAATTCTCCCCAGTCTTTTCCGGGTCCCTCTGTTCGCACACATGGTGTGCACAGGCAGGAGCTGGAAGAATCTCAGGTGACATTGTTACTGTGCACAAAAGGCATTTGGGAGCTCCTTGTGCCAGTGACCTGTGGCAGGATTTATAGAAGGGCCTGACATTTCTAGCATTCTGGTGACTAACTTATCATGACCAGTCTTGTGGTTCAGCATTGAAACCTTTAGTTACAGGTGGTGCCTTTGCCTTGTTTTGTTCAGGGGTAGAAGCACAGCAGTGATCTCTTAGGTCGGGTTCATAGCTGTCTTTTGCTCTCTGCTTCCCTTTTGTAGTCTGGTCTGCTGAAGCCAAGGGTCTCTTCCCTGGAAAAATACTTAAATGCATAAAATATATGCACAGGATTATAAAGGAAACCAATTATTTTGAAATTTGATTATCGAAATATTTAAAAATAAGCTAAAAATGGGACTTTATTAATGTGTTAAATAGCAAGATCTAGTGGTGAGCATAGTGACTGCTGTTGTTTTGAAGTAGTGATAAGAATAAATATTTTGAGATACCCACAACATATACAAACTGTTTCTTTTGATGATACAGTCACAGGAAAATACTAAAACTACTGTGGTTTGTAACAATAGCAGCATTCTGTCATGTCTTAATCGAAGGGAATGTTAAATTTCAGCTAGAGGTTGGTGAAAATAAAGATGTATTTCTCCCCTCCCCCCGTTCATATTCATGGAGCCCCTGAATTTTAATTTAAGAACCCTTGTCTTCGATGGTATCTTGACTTTAGGAGAAAGTGTAAGTCCATGCGGAATACCATGTGGAATACAAGGGTTGCTTGCAGCTCAAGTTTCTCCGTTAACTGAGTGTCTCCCTCCGGCATTTAGAGACCATTTAGTCTGTGCTAAGCACTGTGCTAGGCATTCTGCACACATTAACTTTATTTACTTTAACATTTTCTTCTTATTTTGAAACAATTTCAAATTTATAGGCTACTTAAAGAATAAAGGGTTTTACTTTTCCTCAGCCATCTGAGAGTGAGTTGCCCATGTGAAGTCCTGTCACCTCTGAATAGTTTGTGTGTATTTCCAATAGGCATTCTCCCGTGTAACACAGCCCAGCCATCACAGCTAGGAATTAGCAGAGGTGCTTCACTCCCTCCTAACCCCCAGACTCATTCGTATCTCACCAGTGTTCCATGAAGCCTGTTGTAGCAGAAGGATCCAGTTCAGGATCATGCGCTGCATTTGTCTTGATTCTTTAGATAAATAGTTCCTCTGTCTTTCCTTGGCTATTATGGCCTTCATACCTTTGAAGTGTCCAGGCCAGTCATACTGTAGAGTATCCTTGAATTTGGGCTCTTGGTAATTGGATTCAGACTAGGCATCTTTGGCAGGAATATCACAGGAGCGATGCTGTGTTCTTCTCATTGTGTCCTGTCAGATGGCACATAATTTTGATTTGTCCCATTACTGGCCACGCTGACTTTGATAACTTTATGAATGTGATGTCTGCCAGGTGTTTCAACTATATAGTTATTCTTTTTTCCTTTGTAATTAATAAGTATTTTGTGTGTGTGTGTGTGTGTGTGTGTGGGTGTGTGTTTTGAATCTATGTAAATACCTTCCTTGATCTTCAAACTTTTGCCCACTAGTTTCCTTTTATGTTTCTTGGCTGAATTATTAATTCCCACGATGGTTGGCAAATGGTGAGTTTTCTAATTCCATCATTCCTTCTGCATTTATTAGTTTTTGTTCTATTATAAAGAAAAGCCCACTCTTCTTCCCATTTATTCATTTATTCATATCAATATGGACTCATGAATTCATATTTTATTCAGTAGGTTTTAATCTGTTACTACTGTTATTTATTTTGATGCTCAAATTATTCCAGAATTGGCCTTTTCAAACTGGCTGCTCTGTCCTACTGACAACACACTCCATCATTATTTAAGCAGTTCTATCTTTTCTGGCATGACAAATGCTGTAGACATATCTTGTATTGTCGTTGATTTTCTTCCCCAAGTACTGGCAATGGCCAATTCTCTCGGGATCCTTAGTTCCTTATAGTACACATTTAACTCTGTGTGCTCCAAAGCTTCATGAGGTGGTGGTTATTGTTCACCATTTTTTAGGTAGGACTACCAAGGCTTCAGTAAGTAATTTCCTGAGGTCCCAGAACTGGTAAGTGGCAGAGCCAACATTTGAACTTCAAAAAAAATTTCACATTGCCCTGACTGGGTGGCTCAGTTGATTAGTGCATCATCCCGATACGCCAAGGTTGTGGGTTTGATCCCTGGTCAAGGCACATACAAGAATCAACCAATGAATTCATAAATAAGTGGAACAGCGAATGGATCGCTTGTGCTCTCTCTCTCCCCCCCTCCCCCTTCCTCTCTAAAAAAAAAAATCATTTAAAATTATCATTCTTGAATGCTAATTCACAAAATTACATCCCAATTTCATGAGTGAGGAGATTAAACCTCATAGAGGTTTGTTAAGCTAGTTACCTAGGTCACATAGCTGCTAAGTGTAGAGCTCCACCTCAGATCTCTGTAGCATCACCCTGGGATGCCTGTAAAGTGATTCACTTGACCTCTTCTATTTGAATATAAGTCCCTTGTCCCTAATACTTGTCAGGTTTTGGTTTAGGAATCTTAAGTTTTTGAAGCAAGAACAAGTGTGGGAAAGTATTCTATGTAGTGTTGTGAAAACGATGACCAGAAGCTCTGAGGGGTAGCTATTTCATGATGGGCAAATAGGGTAACTATGATGATTCTTTATGGCAGCTATTTAGTGTTGGGACCACAGTTCTCAGCTTTATTCTTAGGTAAGTGATGGACAGTCATTCCCCCCTCCTCCTGCAGGTGGTGCTGTCTGACCGTGGCCTGATCCAGAGCCTGGCACTGGGGATCACCTTCTTTGGGATTTAGAAACCAGAAGTACCCACATATGTTTGCCTAATGTAAGGATGTGCTTTTTTAAAATTTTTCTTTTAATGTCAGATGCCCATTGTCTTTTCCAGGTAAAGCAACAATTAGACTATGAAGAGCTGATGAAGGTCTTAAAGAAAGAGCAGGACATCTATACCCACCTGGTAAAATCCCTGCAGGACTCGGACAGGTAAGGGTTTCTGTTTGGATATCACACACATGTGAGCTTAGGAAGCTTAAAGTGTTCGGATGGTGATTGCCTTATTTAAATCAGATATACCTATTTCCTATCAAGAATTGTCTGACTTTTGATAACAAGCTTAGGATAAAAATATAATAATCACTCAGATTTTTATAATACTTCATTATAGATTTAGAAAGTGCTTCTATGTATTTTCTCAGATGATCCTCACAGCTGTTCTGTGAGGTAAGTAATACTGTTATTCCTATTTTCCATAAAGCCATTTTCCATGAGAGGTTAAGTGACTTGTCCTAAGTCACATGGGTGATGAGTGACAGAATCTCAAGTGACTTGTTTCTTTACAGAATTGCTGAAATGATTTGGTGCCTGTGAGGTGTGGTGAGGAGAGTTGAGGACAGGCTAGTGTTCTTGTTGTAGCCCTAGCTCTGTGCCCACAGGCAAGTGGCCCGCTCTGGGCCTCTGTTTGCCCATCTATAAACACAGGGGTGGCCTCAGTGTTTTCTCATGTTAAGAAATCATCTTTCTACACACGAGGATAGTTACAAGTGAAAGGAATAATGTCTGGGGTTCATTTCAAAACAGTACAGAAGCAGAGGAAGTGGACAGGGATACTGTGGAACAAGATTGGCCATAGCTCCCTGGTTGTTGGGGCTGGGGTGTGGTTAGATAGTAGAGGGGCTCATTATATTACAGTTTGTTTTCTTTTGTATATGGCTAAAATTTTCCATAATAAAAAGTAAAAAAAAAAAAAAAAATCACCCTTCATTCCTCCTTCTCTTATCCCCTTCACTCGAGCCCTTAAAGTCTTCATTATGTTTTTTCTGGGCCATGTGCTCTCCTGTTCTCTGCCTTCTTTGTCTCCTTCGAGTCCTTGAGATTTCATCTTGAGGGTTACCCTTGTCAGGAGGCCCATGATAATTCCCAGGATAGCTGCCCCATTGTGACCTACCTCCTCTGGATCGTGAGCTCCCTCCGGGCAGGGATCCTGTCTTTGTTCATCTCCATTTCCCAGTGCCTGTCACAGGGGCTGGTATGGAGTAGGCACTCAGGAAATGTTCATTGGATGGATAACCCGCCTGCCCCCCCCCCCATCTTCTAAGTTATGAGATACTTCAGATTTTTTAATCTAACATGAGTTTAGAGAAAATGAAAAGATGCTGATGAAATCTTGGGAGTAGGCATCACTCTCTGAAAGTGAGCGTTTTCAAGGAGCCTCGGCTGCTAGTCATTTTCACTTGGGGGAAGGGGTTGAGTAATGCTGGGAAACTGAGAGCGGGAATGGGCAAGGTGAGTGTAACTGCAGCTTCTCTGGTGGGAGCCAGATCTGGTTCTGGGCACTGACAGGCCCTGTGGGTGGGTATGTTGCTGTCAGCCCCTCAGCATCATGGATGGCTCTGAGTTTCATAGGCTCTTTCTTATGTATAAAAATGTGGGATGGGACCAAGATGGGTCAGTGCTGTGACTGACTAGGATGCTTACAAGGTATCTTGTTCATCTTCAGAGTTGAAATACTTTAGGGTGAGAGAGACCTGGGTCCAGATCCCAGCTCTGCCACTCAGCAACTCTGAGTTCTGGGCTAAGTCACTTTTTACCCTGAGCCTCAGTGTATATGTTTGTACAATTGAGATTGGCTGGCCTGCCTCTCCACTTACCTACCCACCTGCCTACCTACCTGTTTACCTGCCTACCAACCCTATAGGGTGGTTTTGAAATGAGATGCCAGCGTGTGAAGTCCTGATACTGCCTGGCACATATAAGCACTTAGTACATGATAACACATAAAGAGCACAACATGAAAAGCTTCTGCATGCCTCAGTATCCCAGTACACATAAACTCAGATGTAGGGGACTGAATCCTCAGTCCTTGCCATATGCAGAGGGAAGGACTATGGGCTTGTGCAGGTGGCGCCCTTTTTGGTAATGTCAACATTGCTCACTCCTTGGAAACTGGCAGTAGAGGTGGATGGCTCTGGAGACATATGCCATACTTGTAATTAAGATTGGAAAGGGAGGTCAGGGAGGAAGGAAACCGATCACGGGCAGCTGTGCCTGGTCCTTTCCCCTTTACTAGCTTATCCCTTACAGCAGCACTTAGAAGTCTGTTACCTTGTCCTGTATTACGGGAGTGGAAGTCAGCTTTCGGGGGTGTTCAGGGTATTACCCAAGCGTCTACAGTTAGGAACGAGCAGACCTCATTCCTCCCTGGCTCCTGAGCGTTGGCCCTTCCTGAGATGTCTTATCTTGAGAACTCATATAGTTTTCACTTCCCTGAGACTTAGTCTTTCTCACCCTCAGCACTGTTGGGATTTGGGGCTGGGTAATTTTTTGTTAGGAGGGGCTGTCCTGTGCATTGTAGGATATTTAGCAACATCTCTGACTTTTCTTCGCTACATGCCAGTAGCACCCTTCCACGCCAGTTTTGACAACTATTAGTGTCTCCAGATATTGCCACTTGGTCACTGGGTGCCAAAATTGTCTCCAGATGAAAATCACTGCTGTAACTCATGAGAATCAGACATTTGAGCTTAAAAATATTATCTTTTTGGGGGCAGGTTTTAGGATATGTGGAAGGAAGGAAATGGTGTGTTGAGCATCTAGTATATATTAGGCAATATACTGTGTTCTTTCCCATGTAACATCTCTTTTAATCCTCAAAACAATCTTGAAGGAAAGATAGCACCCCATTTTACAGAGGAGGAAATTAGGACTAATGCCTGAGACCATGGAGCTAGTTGTCAGTTATCTGCCTTTTGGAGCTTGGGTCCCTCTAACTGCTCATTTCTGCCTCCTTCCCCACCACATCCCAGAGAGAGGAATGCATAGGACTTTTGTTTCCTTTGCTTCTTTTATTCCACCAGCTCTCCACACCTTGAAAAGATTCTGGAGTTGGGAAAACATAAATAACACGTGGACGCAGCAGCTGTGTACTTTTCGCCCTGTCAGAGAATGGAAGAGGGAGTGAAGCAGTTAGCTTTCTCAGCCCTAATCGCACGAGCTTTGCTAAAACAATGTACTTTTTTATTTTTTCCTGGTTAAATGTGTCTGCAGCCCGGCCGCATCCAAGCGAGTGCTGTGCTGTGACACACTGGAAGGTTTTCCATCAGCCTTACAAATTGGTCATTATGATTGTCTTGAAATGGAAGTAGGTACAAGTTGCTGGTAGGGCTCCTTCCTGCGCAAGAAGATGGCTTCACAATGAGCCATCGTCAGAGCAGCGAGCATAGAAGATTAGACATAATGGTTTATTTTTCTTCCAATATATGTTGATTTATGTGTGCAGTCTGGTGGATGGAGCTGGAAGAAATTTCTGAAGGAGAAGTGGGGCTTGAGTTTGTAGCACATATATTTAGAACAATAGCTCCTATGCGTTTTGGGGTGTGGACCCCTTTTGAGAAATCTATTGAAAACGTATGGGCCCTCTCCCTAGAAAAAGCCACATAGTCCCAGGTGTTGATGGACATTCTTAGGGAACTATGCATAGGTCAGATGCTGGACAGGCACTGGTGTATTTCTTGGTGTCTAAAAAAGGAGGCTTTCTGATTTGTTAGTGTGTTTTGGTAGTCTCAAAAATATTCGTATAGTTTGACCCAGTAATTGCACTGCTGGGAATTTGTCTTAAGAAGCTAACCTGAGTATGAAACAAGGCTTTAGGCACAGCGTTCAGTGAAACGTTGTTTATGTTACTCAGATGTCAGCTGGGTTCTCTGTTCCTCTGAGAGCTGGTTTAATGGGTTCAGGTCCCTGCCATGTGCACATCAGTAGGAGTTTACAGTCCTTCTTGTGGACCAGCATGGCCCAATTAGCAGCCACTAGCCATGTGACTATTTAAATCTAAATTTAAAAAATTAAGTTAGTTCTTTAGTATGTTAGCCACAGTTTAAATCAGTAGGCACCTTTAGCTAGTGGCTGTTGTATCAGTGCAGATGGTGAACATTTTCACTGTTGCAGAGATCCTGTTGGACAGTCCTCCCCAAGATCAATGCCGCTTTTGGGAGGTGTGCGTTTTCATGGTCTCCTCTGAGTTCTGGGTTGCTCTCTGTATAGCTTGGCACTGTGTGTGACTCTGATGTCAAACTAGTCACCCCCCTCCCAAAATAAAAACCCATTCTGCAATGTATTTGTGGGGGTGGACCTATCACAGCAGAGTTCTATTGGTCCCTAAATTAGTCCTTCCCTCTCTCCTTTTATTGACTCGCTCTTCGTTCATTCTTTTTTCTCTTTCTTCCTGCCCCTTCCTTACCCTAGTGCCACCTCTTTTTGGAGTTACACAACAGACGTTCTCTCTTGCCTCCTCTCTTCTGAAGCCTGGGGTGCCAGGTGACAGCCAGGCTCTGGAGAGCTTCCCCTTTTATACTCACGCTCTCACAGGCATTTTCTAAACAGAGAAGCATTTTGCAGAGTTAAATGCTTATATACATCTGTAGCAAAAACTTGGAAATGATCCCATGTACATGATAGGGGATGAGTAAATGTTACATAGTCAAAAAATGATGTTTGCAAACAATTTCCAAAAATGTAGGGAAGTATTTAAGTGAGGAATGCACAATTTAGCATTGTACGCCCATTATTATTTCAACCTTGTAAAAATACTTAGGGAAAAAGATTAGGAGGAAAGCAGTCTGCCATGTATTAATTGGTAGTGGGATCATGGTAATTTTTGTTTTCTTTATACTGTTTTCTTATATTTAAAATTTATAATATACTTACTTTTATAACCAGAAACAACCACAAATGACATGATAAAAGGGAAAGTTCGCTGGGGTTTGCATCTTAAAGCACAAACAGGTTTGTTTTAAAATGTCTGGTGTCTTGTTTTACCAAGTGTCAGCAAGCTGCAGGCTGAGTTAAAAACCATCTTTGCCCTGCGCAAGCAGCTGGAGCGAGATGTGCTCGCCTACCGGAATCTGCAAAAAATGCTGGAGGAGCAGATCAGCGAAATTCGGAGGCGGGAAGGTACATGATTTCTTGTATGTATTTCGCTTTGGTTTTTCCACTTGGAGGGCCTTTGCTGGACTTTAAGGGAGTCCTAAACTCCAGTAGGACATGATGCATGCACAGGATTTCATCTGGGGTTCCTTTTATGTGGTGACTGTCAGTGTTGGCTCTCCCAGTCTGTATCTGTCTGGCTTCGGCCTTCATAGTAGAAGACCCTGCGAATTGTGTGAATTTTGCAGAGGTCTGCTGCAGGATTGCTTCCCTGCTGCCTCTACTGTGTTCTGTAGTGTTTGATACTTCTAGCTCCAGGTAACCTTAGAACCTCCTAATCCCCTTTCCCTGGGAAACAGTCCTTGTTGGCCAAAGTCTGGGCTCTGCCTCCCACAGCACCCCATGCAGAGAGCCCAGACTATAGACACGTGGGGGTGAGATAGCTGCTTCAAATTGAAACATTGCTTTTCGCATTGTCATGATCATTTAGGGAGTGCTACGAGATGAGGGTACTGTGGTTCTTGCGTAGCTGTGCTCCTCTTAGTAATATTTGGCCCTCTCCTTCCCTAGAACCTGAGCCTCTTAGAGTCTGGGTTGGAATCTTTCTTTCTGTATCTCCAGCCTGACAGGTGTGGTAATAGTAGTGGGTTTGAGATTCCTTGACCAACTACTATGTACAAGGCACAGTGCCAGGCACTTAACTTCTTATCCCTGATCCTCACAATCTTCCCGTTAGGTAGATTAGGTATTGACTTCAATTTACAGATGAAGAAACTGAGGCTCAGGGTTGGGGTGGGTGTTGATTTACCCAGATGTGAGCCAGTACATCTTCCTTTGAAGTGTAGCTCTTTCTAGTATATTAGGTGTAGCAGCTCTTATTTGTGTATGTTAGATGAGGTCATGTTTGTGGATATGCCTCCCTCAATAACAGCCTGCCCCTCCCTGCACATTCCCTCCATATTAGAATGTGACCTTTGCTGCAGAGCAGCGATTTTCAACCCTTTTCATCTCATGGCACACAGAAGCTAATTACTAAAATTCTGCTGCACACCCAAAAATATATGTTTTGCTGATCTGACAAAAAAAAGGTATAATTTTGGTTCATTCACACTGGATGGTTATTGTTGTGTTGGCTGTTGTCATTTTTTTATTTGACAATCCAAGGGAAAAGAGGTCAGTGCCCCTGACTAAATAGTTAGGTATTGCATGTTTTAAAAATTCTTGCAGAACACTGGTTGAAAATCGCTGCTGCAGAGGAAGCAGACCCTTATGTAGGTGACTAGAGTCTCTTATCTGAGATCTAGCAGGCAGTTTTTGCACTTGGTATGCTCGCTACCATGGAGGGCTCTGGGGCCAGTAAAAAATACATTAGGCACTTATTTCCCTTGAGTTCTACCCTTGAAGGTCACATCTCATTTTCCTGTATTCTCACCCAAACAGAATCACTCCCTCATTTAAACTGAAATCACCCTTTTCTTGTGCCACTCAGAATGATCTACAGGCACAACACTTGATACGCAAATTATAATTCAGAATTGGCTTCCGTGAAAGCTTATACAGCCCATGATAAAACTATACTTTGAGATATCAGCCTGTAGAGAAAGAAGGGAAAATTACATTTGCTCCAAAGCTTAGACTCCCTGTGTGCTTCTGCGCCCAGCCCCCCCAGCCCCACCCAATTCAAACTGCCTGAGGTGGATTGCGCTGGGATTGGTCTCAAAAGGATCTACTTCTGATTTTCTTTATCTCCTCCCCCACTTTTTTTTTCTTTTTAGCCGAAGAACCTTTTTCATTTTATAGTGATCAAACATCTTATCTAAGTATTTGCCTTGAAGAGCATAATCAGTTTCAAGTGGACCATTTTTCTCAAGAAGATCTTAAGAAAAAGGTATTGGCATATTACTTTCAGTGCTTTGTTGGTTATTTGTTGTCTGTTGGGTTCCTGATCAGAGGTCTAAGACTCTCAAACCTGTTTTCCCTCCTTTTTTCCCCTCTCCTCCCTGTTCGTCTTTGCTCCTTCTATGTTCGATACCTAGAGTGCCCTCCCCATGTCTGATACACTCCTTCTCAGGCTTGAGGACCCAGCCCAGGCTCAACCTTCTCTAGGAAACGCCTTCCAATTCCTCCATGTAGTTAGTCACCTTTCCCTCAGGTCGTTCACATCTCTTCTGTACCAGTCACATCCATTTCCTTGACTTGCAGGTCTGCAATTATGTGGGTGTTTTTTCTGTGTCCTCTGCTAAGCTGTGAACATTTTACTTATTTTTGATTTTCCAGTACCTGGCACACGTAGTGGGAGTTAATAGGTGCTTTTTGAAAGAATAAACGTTCAAATTTGATCAATAAATCTTTTTTAAAACTGAAAAGTTTTTTCAATCTGTTGATCATTGGTGTGGTTAGAATGGTTTAGTATTTCAAGGTTTAAGAGTCATTCATAAGAATAGCAAGTGTGAGCTCAGAGGAGACTGTGTTTTACTGTAAAATTATCATACATGTATGACAGATTCAGTTCTGTCTTGGAATAATTCACATTCTGATAGAATGAACAGACTTGTAAGTAGGTAATTGCAATGTGGAGTACAAGGGTTGCTGTAATAGGAGATGTACAAGGTATGGAGGTAGCAGAGAAGGAGAGGTTAACTGTTGGGGTCGGGGAGTGCTCACTTGATCAGAGAAAGCTTCTCAACAGAAGTGAGGCCTGAAGTGGATTTTGAAGGATGAATAGGAGTTTGTATAAGTAGAGGCCTTTTTTAGCAGAGAAAGAGAAAATAGTCAGTGTAAGGTACAGAAATAAAAAATAGAAAGGAGAACTATAAAAATTTTGGTAGTTTGGGAGCTAAAAAGCAAGGAGCATTGATTGAGGCATTTAATTTATGAAGCTAAAGAAAATGGGGATGATACTAGCTGCTGCTAGTACCTGCTATGGCTATGTTAAGGGCAGGAAGTCATTCACTTGGTTGGCACATAGTGTTTATAGAATCAGAATGTCTTGTATTTCCCACTGTAACCTTGAGGGTTGGGTTCAATTTGTACTCATGTTTTGGTGTATTTTGAGCATCTGCTATGGGTAGTCTGGGTGGGATTTCCCACTTTGTTTGAGGGGCTAATGATTACCATGTTAAGAAATCTTTGGAAAATTACTGCCCCTTGGGATTCGAAACTTCCTGGGAACAAAGTGGTGTCTGCTCAATTACTTATGTACCTGGCCTAGCAAGACCTGAACCTTAAGAAGGAGCACTGGGCCAGGAGTCCCTGGATCTCAGCTTCGGGCCTGGCTGGGCTCTGTGGAGGCAGCTACCCTTTCCCAAATGGCTAGACACTTAGGCTGTTA